TAGCATTTCATCACAAACATTTGTCCACATTCCTATGAGGTCTCCATAATTGTTTTCAGATCCAAGTTTTAGGAAGATGAATGAATTCATTGAACAAATATTTTTTGAGCACATGCCAGGAGCTGTTCTAGGCACTGGGCAAGGCCCCTGCTCTCCTGGAGCTTATTTTCTGGTTGGGAGGACAGACAACAACAAACTAACAAATGAACAAGATAATTTCTGATGGTGAGGAGTGTGGTACTAGCAGAAATCCAAGAGGGAAGTGAGACAGAGAGGCATGCTGTGCAGTTAACTTCAGAAAGGGCAGTCAGGGACAGAGGTGACCTCTGAGCTAAGACTTCAGCCATGAGGAGACACCAGCTAAGTGAGTTCTGAGAGGAGGCATTCTAGGACAAGGGTACTGTGAGTGCAATGGCCCTGAGGCAGCAACATGTTTGGCATGCTTTAGGAAGAGTAAGAATTTAGTTGACAATGCAAAGAGCAGGTTTGGGGAAAGAAAGACGTGGCAAGGGACCTGGTAGGCAGCCACAGAATCCTCTGAAACTGCCCTGAACATCACTTTGGCCAGAAGCAGGGACCAGGGAGTCCTAGTCGTTCAAGTCCAGCCATAACATAGTTGTCAGAGTTACCTCCAGGCCTCTTCTTGGGAAGGAGCCCAGGAGCCGGCACCAGCCGCATGCTCAGTGCTCTAGCTTTCCCAGGTGCTTTCCAGAGCCGCCACATGAAGCCACAACCCCGAGAGCCCCGGGGGCCTCCGGAGCCCGGCGAGTGCGTAGGCAGGCCCAGCAAGTGCCAACCTGACAGCTGATGGCAGCCGGGCCCCTCCCTGCCGCCCCGCCACCTGCACATCAAAGTGGTGATGCTCCTGGCACATCCGCTTCCTCCAGCCCTGAGCCCACGGGCTGGCACTGTGCCCCCAGCATGCAGCCTCTGCCCTGCACCCCCACTCGCTGCTCCCAGCCCTGGGCTTCATAGTTCCTCCTTCCCTCTCAAATCACAGGCTTACTCCAGAGATGGGCCAGTCTGGGTCAGGTCCCCTGTGAAACTCACATGGCTCTCTGATTTCTGCCTTGTAACACTCACTATTCTTTGTATTAATCCCTTATTATCCATCTTCCCCTTTGAACTGTAAGCTCCAGGAAGGTAGGAACTATGAGTCCATAGTGTTTAGTATATCATACAGTGCTGTCAATAGAAATATAATGTGGGCCATATATGCAATAAAATTTCCTAAGAGCCACATTCAATTAGCAAAAAAAGAAGTAGGTAAAATGATTTTTTAAAAATACATTTTAAAAAATATTTATTTATTTGGTTGCATCAGGTCTTAGTTGTAGCATGTAAGACTAGTTGCCGTGTGTCATGTGGGATCTTAGATTGTCAACCAGGGATCAAACCCCCATCCCCTGCAGTGGAAGGTGGATTCTTAACCACTGGACCACCAGGGAAGTCCCATAAATTTTAGTAATGTATTTTCTTTAACTCAGTAATTCAGAATATTATCATTTCAACATGTGGTCAATATAAAGACTGCTAATGAGATATTTTATATTCTTTTTCCTTATACTAAGCAGTCAAAGTACAGTGTATATTTTACATCACAGCACATCTCAATTAGGATGCTAAGTTTTCATTGGAAATACTCAATCTTACTTGGATTGCATCAAATTTATGGGTAGAGACAATTCACTTACCCAAGTTGTGCCAAATGTATATAAAAGTTTTCCAGTTGTGGAATGAAGAGCTTTTAAACTTTGGATTAAGTTAAATTAAATAAAATTAAAAATACAGTTCCTCAGGCACACTAGCCATATTTCAAGTGCTCCATCGCCATGTGGCTAGGTTACCACACTGGAAAGCAAAAGATATCAAAAGTGCCCACATTCGTAGCAGGAATGCATTGATAAATCCTGCGTTCACCATTTCCTGGTAATATGTCTTGGGCCTTGGGGTGATTTTGAATACCCACCAATTCTTTGGTACTCCTCCTGTCCAAAGGTGGAGGCTGATTACTCTCTCCTTGAGCGTGAGCCAGACTTAATGACTCACTTGGAAGGAATGGAATGTGGCTAAGCGACAGAGGGTGACTTCCAAGACTAGATCTCGCTGTGTGCTCTGGGCCCATCTGCCTCTGCCCAGGCTCTCACCTGTTCTGTCTTGACCTCACATTACCCCAGAGAGAAGGTCTCCAGCTCCCTAGCTGCTACACAATGGAGGGCGCGTCAGATGGGCAATGCTCTCACCCACGACCACGTCTGAGCCTCAGTCTTCAGGTCAAGCCCATGCTTGGTCCAGGGTAGCGAGGTCATACGGTCACAAGGCCAACTTTTCTCAGAAGGTGGCCAAAGCACCAAGGACATAATGGTCTTGTCTCCGTCAGGTCCTTGGGTGAGTCCACCGATGAACGTGGACCTGTTTGCCTTGTCTGTCATATCATGGCTGACAGTAGGACTTGGACCACCCATCAGGTGGCTGTGAGGGTCCAGGGGGTGGATCAGACAAGACCCTTTCCAACAGGAACATCTCATTTAAATACTACTGCTGTGACAAAGGCAGCTTTCTGCGAACATGAAGTAGAAAAATGTAGGCATCGTCCTATCCATCAGGGCTGTCCTATTCAAAGAAGTCACAGAGACTTAGGACACTGGGCCCGTTTTAAGCACCAGTGAGATGAAGAAGATGAAGTTGAGTTTAAAAAAAAAAGAAGCAGCTGTTTCTTGCCTGTGGCGTTTCTAGCTTGTGCACATCATCCCTGTAATATTTCTTCTTCCTTTTTTGTTAATGGCTTGGGGGTTTGAACACTGTTTTGTTCAGCCACACGGGGAAATGTTTAATGAATCCTTGTGAATATTCATTAAATGCTGTTAATATTTTCTGGTGGGGGAGGCCCTGCTGCCCGTCCGGCGGGTCTCAGAACGGCAGCAGGGGAAGCAGCCCACCACTTGATTTCTGTTATTTGTTTTCCATTTCGATTGCCCTATTTTCTGAGACCTCAGGTGGTTTGCGGGGGCCAAGGGTGGAGGCAGGGCTGGCTTCCTTGCCTCCTTTCCCCAGACTCACAAGGAGTTTTAGAGAGGGGTGGTATGGAGTTAAAGATGACTACCCCCTGCCCCCCAGCGACCACACTCCTTGGTACGTACCTCCAAGAAACCCTCACACGTGCACAAAGAAATATGCCGGGAATGCTCCTGGCAGCACTGCTTGCAATAGCAACAAAGAGAGAAACCACACAAATGCCCATTAACGGGAGGACGGATGGACTTAGAATTTTCCTACTAATGGATTGCTACGATCCAGGAATGAAAATGAATGACCAGGCCTGTGTATTACAGTTGAGTCTTTTTTATCGAGATATAATTCACACATCATAAAATTCACTCTTGAAAGAGACACAATGCAGAGGTTTTCAGGATATTCATTGGGCAACCATCACTGCTCTCTAAGTACAGAATATTTTCATTAACTCCAAAAGAAACCCCATACCCATTAGCAGTCACTCCCCGTCTCCATCCCCAAGCCACCCCTAATCTGCTTTCTGCCTCTATGGATTTGCCTGTTCTGGACATCTCATATACATGGAATCATATAACATATGGTCTTTTGAAACTGGCTTTTTTTTTCTTCATTTAGCATGTTTTCAAAGTTTGCACACTTAGTAGCATGTAGCAGTACTTCATTCCTTTTCGTGGCCAAATAATATTCCACTGTATGCATAGACCACTTTTGTCTATCCATGGATATTTGGACTGTTTCTGCCTTTTCACGCTTATGAGTAAGGCTGCTATGTACATTCACATACAAGTTTCTGTGTGGACATTTGTCTTAATAATTTTGAGTATATACCTAGGAGTAGAATCGCTCAGTCATATGGCAATTCTACATTTAACTTTTTGAGAAACTGCCGAATTGTTTTCCAAAGTGGCTGCACTATTTTATGTTCCTATCAGCAATGTCTGAGGGTTCCAATTTCTTCCTACCCTCACGTGGTTGAATTGGACAGATTATAATGTAGAGAAAAAAGCAAGTTGCAGAAAAATCTGTGCAGTGTGACACCACTTCTAGGAAGTTTGGAAACGTGCAAAACAACACCATAGATTACTCAGACCTACACTACGTGCAATTAAAGTGTAAAGAAAGTCATAGGAATGGAAAACACTGAAATATGGATAATGCTTCCCACTGGAGGTGATGAGAGCAATGCGATCAGAGTGTGTGAATATACGGGGCTTCCAATACATGTGTGCTGTTTTATTTCTTAAGGTAGGTAATGTTCATGGGAATCATTGAATTATTCTTTATCCTTCATTGTGGATTTTAAATATTTCCTTGCGAAGTATTATTTTACATTTATTTTTAGGTAGGGCATATTTTGGGGCTTGCCAGGTGGCACTAGCAGTAAAGAACCTGCCTGCAATGCAGGGGATGTAAGAGACACAGTTTTGATCCCTGGGTTTAGAAGATCCCCTGGAGGAGGGTGTGGCAACCCACTCCAGTATTCTTGCCTGAAGAATCCCGTGGACAGAGGATCCTGGCGGGCTATAGTCCATGGGGTTGCAAAGAGTCAGACACAACTGAAGTGACTTAGCAGGGCTTATTTGACAGTTACAGCTATCTTTAAGAAGCCTACTCTGTGGGAATCTTATGGAATTGGAGAGTTTCTGAAATGGAAAATCTCCTGAGGGTTTGAGTCCCCGTTGGAACACATAATTCCCCCCTACTCAAGCTGGCAGTGTCATGGGGTATAATGAATATTGTCTTTGGGATCTTTATAAGTAAAGAAGCTCCAACTATAAGTAACCATCGTGGCTTGTAATACAAAAACTCTTTGTTACCCCTCCCTTTAAGAACTGGAACATAATTTCTCTCCCCTTGAGTATAACCTGGCCTACGTAACTTTCAACTAATGAACAGAAAAAGGCAGAAGTGACAATGGGTTATTTGAGAGACTTGGTCATAAAAACCAGTTTGGCTTTTTCCTTTCTCTGTCTTTTGATCACCAGATCCTGGGGAAAGCCAGCTGCATGTTGTGAGGACTCTCAAGCTGTCTGTCCTCTGGGCAGACCCCTGTGGTGAGGAACTGAGGCCTTCTGCCAATAGCCACGTGAGCAAACCATCTTGGGAAAGGGTCCTTCAGCCCCGGCTGAACCTTTAGTTGCCTGCAGCCCAGGGCAGCCTCTAGACTGCACCCATGAGCCAGAACCTCCCAGCTAAGCTGCTTCTAGATTCCTGACTCTCTAAACTGTGTGAGATAATAAATGTTAGTTGTTTTAAGCTGCTACATTTAGTGGTAATTTGTTACACAGCAATAGATAAGTGATAAAGGATTTATTATCTCACATAGCAAGCCTCTTGAGGGAGAATATTCCAAGGTGGGTAACTCAGTTTTAAATCTCACTCTGCCATCTTGAATGTCCTGGTTTTTGTCTTCAAGTTTGTCTCCTCATGATCTCAAAGTAGCTGCCACAGCTCCAGACACCACATCACTATAGATCTCTTCCACTGAGTGGAAAAGGAAAAAATATTTTCCCCACATGTGCTGCAGTAGACTTCTCCATATGTCTCTTTGGGCCAAGCATATCACATACTTCTGCCCAGACAGGACTGCCAGGGGGAATGGAATCACTCCGAATGGCTTGGGCTAATGCCAAGCACCAGTGCTGGCCACAGAGGCATACTACTCTGATCTCCCTGCTGCAATGAGGGTAGTCACGGTAGCCTGCCGGTGTTACACCTTTAATGAATCTGCTGCAGCATCCATGCAGATACCCTGTTTCCCCCAAGTGCTCCAGAACAGTGGCTGTATTCATGGTAGGGGTCTGAGAGCCAGAAAATTTCCATCCCATGTGGGACCCTACCCCACATCAGCCCAACTAGGCCTTTCTCAAAGCTGCACTGCAATCTGAGCCTCCTCCTCACCAATCCTCATTCCTTCCTTCCTTCCCCCTCTCCTTTCCCAGGTGTCAGAACAGCATTGTGACTCTCAGGCTCCCTGTCTCTCCCTGCTCCTTCCCTCTGTCCCTCACAGGCAGCTCCCTGATAAATCTCTTGCCCATCTGTCATCTTGGCATCCCCTTCCCAGGGGACTCAAATTGCCGCTAGCCCTCTGTGTCTCACTTTCTACATGTGGGATGGTGTACACCTAAACAAAATCAGGAAAGAGGGGTGCAGAGTATGCCTCTTGGGTGGTTAGCCTGCTGGGTGTTCACAATGTCAGATGAGCAGAGACCCCAGCTCCCCTTGGACTGCTCTTGGGACTTGGAGAGTTATTAACACTATCCTCTCTGGTCTCAGCTGCCTCCCCTGTAAAAATACACTCGGGATAGTGGACCACTTAAACAGCATCTGTAAAGCTAGCATATAATAATAACGGCAGCGACCATCTGAGTGATTCCTGGTTTCAGGCAGTTTACATGGCTCATTTCATCCTCACAGTTACTCTCTAGGGTTGTGCTATCTGTGGCCCCAAGTCTGAAGCCCAGAGAAGTTGAGGAGTTTGCAGAAGTCCCCCATGAGTAAGTGACAGGGCGAGTGTAAAACACAGACAATCTGATCCCAGCACAGATGCTGAGGGGCCATCGGGCTCTACGGAACACTGTAGGTGTTTGACGTGTGCTGGCATCGGTCTTGACATTTCCACGATGGGGCAGTTCAGTGTGATGATTGCTATCATTTACGGAGTGTAAGCTGTGTGCTGGGTGCTTTAAATAGATGATCTCATTGACACTTCACTGCAACATGTTGAGAGGGGGTTTCTGCAGCCCACTTTACTGTCCAGGAAGCAGATGTATAGTGAGGAAGGGACAAGGTTGGGATTCCAGCTGGGTGGGCAGGATGACCTCAGAGTCCGCAAGCAACCTCTGCACTGCCTCCTGTTAAGAGCCAGAGCTTCCACAGAAAGGATCGGCCTGGAGCCCCAGTTCTACCCCTGAGCAGCTGACATAGGGCAAGTTACTTAATATTTACTTAACACAAGCCTCTGTTTCCCTAATTTTTAAATGGGAGATAGATAACACCTAACTCAAAAGGGTTTTTCTTTTGTTGGTATTGTTTTCTTTTTCTTTTTTTGCCGAGATTTAGATGAGAAAACATCTTTAAAGCTAGGACAGTGTCTATTACCCGAGGAGGCTCTTAATTAATCATCACAGGATTCCAGGCATTGTTGACATTTATCTCTGATTCTTGTCTCCACAGAAATCATAAATCTGGTTCTGATTATCACCTCATGCACAGGTTCTTCCCAAAGATTCACAATCTCATGCTTTTATCTGTTCTCTAAAATACGATCCAATTTACAGAAGTTTGACTTACAACTCCTTTATAAGCCCAGCTGGTGTGTAAAGTGATGCATTCTGTGGCCCATTGCACCACAGAGCACAAGGCCCCAGGGACCAGGCCAAGAATGGGAACCTCAATTCTTTGATAATAAAGGATCCTTTTTGTAAAACGAGCTCCATCGGCTCACATGTCTGTGGAGACAATCCAGATTTTCCTGTTTAAAACAGAGTCCCCAGGATCTCATTCCCATAGGGGAAGCTGGAAGAATAAAAGATGAGTGACCACACCTCCAGCTGTTTTCTAGAACTCCTCGTGGATCACAGGGCTGTGACAGTCACCCCTCACTCAGTTTCCTCATCTGTACAATGGGCATGATATTTGCACTCTGTGGTATCCTATACCCGGCAGGCATGAAGGGACTTGGTGCAGTGAATGTTTGTAGAATTGGATTTAGTCATTCATGTCATTCAGCATGGGGTTGTTGTCATTCACATCACTTAACAAGAGTTTGTTGAGGGATTTCTTAGATCCGAGAGAAAGATAGGATGGGATCTATGCCGTTCTAGAGGGTTACTGCCTGGATGGCCTTGGGAAGACGCTTTATTTAAACTTATGACTTCTCTCTTCACCCATTCGACTGTTCTATGTTCTAATGTTATTTGGGATTTCAAAATAAATGGAACACGGCCAGAGGGAAATAAAAAAGAAAGCAATTAAAACAATGGCTACTCTGAGACATGAAAATATATGTCCACTTAGCATCTGTACCCAAACGTTCATAGCAGCACTATTCACAATAGCCAAAAGGGTGAAAACAGCCCAAATGGCCATCTGAGGACAAATAAACCAGATGTAATCTATCCAGACAATGGAATATTATTCAACCGTAAAAAGGAAGGAAAGACCAGTTCATATCACCACACACATGAACCTTGAAAATATTATACTAAGTGCGAGAAGCCAGGCCCCAAAAGATCCTGGAATGTATGATTTTTGTTCACACAGAAGTCCAGAATGGGGAAATCTAGAGAGACAAAAAGTAGGTCAGCGGTTACTTAGAGATGAAGGCAGGGAAGCAAGGTCGGAGACTGGAGAATTAAAATAACAGTGGCAGCAGCAGCAATAATAATAAATAATGACTCTGTGTGTCCATCGCCCTCTCCCATCTGCCAAGACACGTGCCCCGAGGAACAACCACTGAGTAGAAATGCACGTCCTGGAACTTGGTCATAGGAGGGACTGGAGGAGTGTGGGCTGAGGGCATAGAGGAAGCCTTGCAGAGGAGGTGGAAATGAATGAACAGGTAGCAGATTCACCTGAGAGGGGGAGGCAGGGGGTGCAGCCTTCGGGGAGCAGTGCAGGAAGCCCATGCCAGGAAGGGTTTGGGGCTGGGAGTTATCAAGGTGCGCTTTGTGTGGGGGGGGGGTGTTGAACCAATGCATCCTTCAGAGCCTGTTCTGGCTGGAGCAGCAAGGTCGCTGTAGGAGAAAAATAGTAGATGAGGTCAGAGTGCCGGGAGGGTAGGATCGTGGGGGTCCTTGGGTGGCCATGATTTCATCTTGTAGTTCTGTAAGCGTCCAAAGGCTTTTGAGCCGGGGGCTGACATGACTTCATGATTTAAGAGGCACTGAGGCTGTCCTTATGCCCAGAAGTCTTCACACACACGCGCACACACACACACACACACACAGAGCAGCAACTTGAGTCCCAGAGCTCAGACACTCAAGTCTTTCCTAAGGAAGAAACTAATAGCCTAACCCAGGGTGGGGAGTCCTCAAGGGATCCATTTCCAGGCGCTCCTGTCTTCAGAATTAAACAACAGGAGTAAGTTCAGCGCAGACAGCTCCATCTGGACCCCAGCATCAATAAATTCCACCCTGCCCCCAGGAATTGCACCCCTCCCCACAAGACAGCCCCTGATGGGGGACCAGAGAGCGAGTCCTCTCCTGGAGGAGGCCTGGGTCTGTGCACTTCCGCCAGCCCCTGTCTCACCCCTGGGGCAGCAGGAGGAGATGGGCATGTGCCAAGGATGGAAGACACACAGGACACGGAGACAGGGACCCCCAGGGTGGAGCAGGCACAGGGAGAAGCCAGGAGACTAAGGGCAGGAGAGGGGAGCCTCAGTGCCCACAGGCTGGATGTGACTGCAGGCTGAGAGCCCGGGGCTGCTTGAATAACCGTGTTAATCTGTGTGCATCCCGAGGGGGGAGCCCCTAGGCTCCATCTCTAATCAGGTCGCTACTCTCATTTAGAGGGTTTAATGTACCGTCGTTCATAGTGGGACCCGCGGTGTCAGCCTGTGAAGCCGCTCAGAGGAGCGGCTTTTCTGTCCCCTCCACTCCTTTCCCTCCGCCTCTGCCCACGAATCTCACCTGGGCCCTGGTCTGTTGCCCCCAACCTGCCGCGCGGCTCCCCCCAACTCTTCTCTGAGATGTCTGCCCCTGCAGTGCCAGGGTGAGTGTCCTGAGACACAAACCTGTCCCTACTTCAAACCCTTCCTGCCTCCAGGCCTCAGTGCGACCTTGCCCAGACCACCCCCATGGCTTCATCTCCTGCATTATCTTCCCCAGCTAGGCACTGAGTGCCCGGCACAGGGCAGACGCCCTGCCTCCTCTGTGCTTGGTGGTGGGGCCGTCCTGCAGGCTGTAGGGTGTTGAGCAGCATCCCTGGCCTCCACCTATTAGATGCCAGGAGCACCTCCACCCCATCCATAGCAACCAAAGATGGCTCCAGATGTTACCAGGTCGCCTCCCCCTGCCACTGAGAACCACTGCTCTGTAGGCATATACTGAAGGTCAGGAACACCTGCTCTCAAGCCCGACAGACCTGGATCCATCCTTCTGCCCTCTGAGCCACACAGCACTGGGCAAGTCACTTTAAATGAAGACAAAACGGTGCCTGTCTTGTAGGGACTGTGTGACTGTCAAATGAGGTGATCCATGAAAACTAGGTGCACAGCCAGCACGTAATAAACGCTGCCTGGTGCTGCTATGCCGTGCATCATTTTGTTCCATGTTCCTGGCTTCACCTTTCTCCCCCCCCTCCACCGCCCCCCAACCTCTCGGCCAGCCAACTGTGTTTGTTCTTCAAGAATCAGCTGGTCCGTCAGCTCCTCTGAGAAGTCCCTCTTGACCGCTCCCAAATCTTGGACATTTCTCCTCTTCTCCCACCCCGCCATGTGTCCCACCGTGTACTGAAGTTGTGTGTTTAGGAGTGTGTCTCCTGCACCTGCCTGTGAGCCCTTAGGGGCAGAGGTCTTTAACCACAGTGCATGCATTCATGCTGAGTTTTTATTGGCATAGAAAAGTGCATGTTGGTGGGGACACACTTGGTTGTGATCCTCAGAGATTGAAAGCCTGTGTGTCTGGTGTGGGTTAGGTATAGTGGACTGTGATCCCCACAGAGAGGACGGGAGGAAACTCATTAACTCAGAGCACATCACACACATCCTTGACCTCATCAGTTTAAGGCAGGGATGATGCAGGTAAGGTGCCCTGTCTCTGGGTCTCAAACCTGACCTCCGTGGCCCACGGTCAGTTGACTCAGGGCCTCAGTTTTCCCATCTGTATAATGGCAATGATCATAGCTACCTCCCAGGGTGACTTTGAGGACAGAGGTGAGGCACCCTGGGCAGTTTTCTCATGACAAACATGCATCAGACAGCAGGCAAGCAAACCGAGCAGGGGATAGGGATTCAGAGAACACTTTGCTATGGAAGACCAGCCAGGGTTGGCAGTGGTGGATGGGACTGTGTTTTCGCATCAGGGAGAGTTTCCTTTCCTTTGTCTGTGGTCTTAATCTAGGAGATGGATGGGACACACAGCTTATTTTTCCTGTTTCAATGTACAGGAAGGTCTCCATGTCCACGAAGGACAGAAGCACAAAAAAGCCACTTAAGTTGTAGTAGCCGATATCTAGCTTGGAATCCAGGAAGAATTAATTGATAACAAGGGTCATTAATCCCCAGAGCAGGATGCCACCAGCACAGATAATAGAATTTCAATTACTGGAGGGTTTCTTGTCTATTAAAGCCCTCCTGTTTCTACAAGGCAGTGCTTAACTACCAGAGCCCCCAGGACACCCTCCCTGCCACATCACTGAAGACCATTCTCAGCATCCTTTGACCTCTAGAAGCACTTACAGCCTCTGTTCTGTCTTGTCGGGGTGTGTGTGTGTGTGTGTGTGTGTGTGTGTGTGTGTATTTGGAGAGACAGAGAGAGAGTGTCCCAACCAAATCCTATCAGGAGTGTAGAAAGCTGTGTCCTTTACCTTGCAGTAGCTTTTTCTCCTAAAATGCTTTTGTAAGGTATTCAATCAATATCATTCCTTTTTTAATTGTACAGAGAACCTATATTCATCGTAGAAAAATCCTGACAAGCCAGAAGAAACACAACCAATCACCCATAACCCCTCTACCCAGAAAGGCCCAGTGTTAACATCTTTCCATGGTGGTTCTTTGTCTTTTAAGTTCAGCCAATTGCATGAATGCATGCAAACTATGCAAGAAGAGGGGGTATAAAAAAGTACCCCCTTTCCTACTTCCCCAGTCCCTCCCCACAGAAGTCACTGCGGTCAAGCATTCGGTGTAAACTTGCCCACCATCTTGTTGTTTTGTAGACATGCGTGTATAGATAGATGTTTTAAAAAAAACATGCACAGGGTCACACAATGTGTGTGTTTCTCTGATTTGCTTTTTTGTGACCTGACACTATCTATGTCTTGGAGAGTTTTATGTACCCACTCTTTCAGATCTTACTTTTTCTCTTGGACAACTGGGTAAGATTCCATTACATCAACAAACTGTGATTTATAGACCCACTCCCCGATGGGCACTTAGGTTGCCTCCAGTCTGTCACTAATACAAAGTGTGCGTCTTTGTCCACCTGTGCAAGCATTTTTGTGGGAAAGATTCATAGACATGAAATGATAGATCAATGTTGATAGACATTGTCAAATGGCTCTCCAAAGACTGTCTCAAATTATCTCTTTCCATACAGTGCATGAGTAAATCTGATCCCCCTTACCTTTGACAGCACTGGAAATAATCAGTCCTCTTTTTTTCTTTTTTTGGTCAATTTCCTGGAAAAACACATCATCTTCATTTGCATTTCCCTGATTACTGTGAAGCTAAGCATCTTTTCATATGTTTATTGGCCATCAACCTTTCTATACATATGCAGCCATATACACTTTTTAGATGTCTTACATTGCTTCATTGTAAAATCTGCCTTTTTTTTCCCTCCGAAGTGCAGAAAGGACATCTTTCTATGTCAGCACACAAACTTCTGCATCATTCGTAGTGGCTATATCATGCGTCAGTACCACTCTTCAATCAGTTCCTTATTGTTGGGCAATCAAGTAGGTCCCTAATCTTTTGCTGTTTTTGCGAAAACTGTAGTGAATGTCGTTTACAGATAAACAACACACTGACCACTCTGACTTCCTTGGGATGAATCCCCAGGAGTGGAACTGCTGGTCAAGGGATGCACATATTTTAAGGCTATTGCTGCTTATTGCCAAAGTACTCCCCGAAGAGCTGGTTGGCAGGTCTGGTTTCTCCACCAGAAGCTCATGAGAGTGTCCTTAACCAGATATGGCCACATGTCCTCCTGTGGTGGGGGGGACAGGAATCACCCCCAGTAGATACCCTCTTCCTTAGAGACAGAGTGGTCTGAGTGCTCAGGCAGCTATAGACAAATATTCTATTTATTTCCGCCAATGGTCTGACTCGGTGGTTCTCAAGGTTTATTGTGTCCGACTCTTTTACAACCCCATGGACTGTAGCCCACCAGGCTCCTCCGTCCATGGGATTTTCCAGGCACGAATACTGGAGTGGGCTGCCATTTCCTTCTCCAGGGGATCTTCCCCACCCAAGGACTGAACCCGCATCTCTTTCATTGCTGGTAGATTCTTTAGCACTGAGCCACCAGGTGATTTGTACATGTTACCATTATACCCTATTTCATGGGCAGAGAATTTTCAAGGATAACTTGACTCCATCCAAAAAGTCTTACATGCTGATACTAGAACCCCACTTGAATGTGACACCACTGGTCTCCTGAAGAGCCCTGCAGTGGTCACAAAGGTCTTCCCCGCACAGGCTCTCTCTCATGCCCAGGCTTCTGTGAGGTCAGTGGTGACAACTTGCCACTGTTGGACATAACAGCATCAGGCCATCCACTGCAGCCTCAGGCCGGCGTGGTGAGGCGGGCACTGTGACTGCCCCATTTCACAGAGGAGACACTGAGGCTCACAGACCTCAAATAACTTGCCCCACATTACATAGGCAGTAAAGAGCGAGGCCATTTGACTGCAAGTTGTAGTGTTTTTCAATAGAAAGCATGCACAGTAGGTAAAGAAAATGTCTACAACCAATGCTTATATATTGATTAACATTCCTGCCTTCGTGATTCTGACTCAGGCAGGTGAAAAGTAAAAGATGCAGCCTCCATGGCTCCTTGCTTTTGTCTTCAAGGGGGCAGAGGTTGGCAAGTCCTGAGCTCTGGGCAAAGTGAAGGCGTCCAAACCCGAGACTCTTGAGTGCTGTTGGAATCATTTCCGCTGTTGGGTTGTAAAGCTATGACAAACCTAGACAGCATATTAAAAAGCAGAGACATTACTTTGCCGACAAAGGTCCATCTAGTCAAAGCTCTGGTTTTTCCAGTAATCAAGGATGTGAGAGTTGGACTGTAAAGAAAGCTGAGCACCAAAGAATTGATGCTTTTGAACTGTGGTGTTGGAGAAGACTCTTGAGAGTCCCTTGGACTGCAAGGAAATCAAACCAGCCAATCCTAAAGGAAATCAGTACTGACTATTCATTGGAAGGACTGATGCTGAAGCTGAAACTCTAATATTTTGGCCACCTGATGCAAAGAACTGACTCACTGGAAAAGACTCTGATGCTGGGAAGGATTGAAGGCAGGAGGAGGAGGGGATGACAGAGGACGAGATGGTTAGATGGCATCACCAATTCGATGGACATGAGTTTAAGCAAGCTCTGGGAGTTGATGATGGACAGGGAAGTCTGGTGTGCTGTAGTCCATGGGTTCGCAGAGTCAGACACAACTGAGTTACTGAGCTGAACTGAACTGGGTGTTATTAATTGTCTACGCCTGTAGGGTTGCCATTTGGGGCCTGGGAACTGTGTTTCTGTTGTAATTTAAAAGGATAATCTTTTTTTTTTTTTTTTTTTTTGCAGTTTCCTTAACTGCAAAAACCCCTCATTTTCCTCCTTCACCTCCAGGAAAACTCTTGACCCTAATAAAAGTGAAGCCCTTTGAGTCCCCTGGAGGAAGGTGTGCCTGCAAAGTCAAGGGTGTGACTAGATCAGCCAGGATCTTCCTGTTCTGACCAAAGGAGCCAATTAGATGATCTAATGGGAATCCTTTTTGTCATCCAGAAATTATATGATGCTGTGAAGCTGCCCACTCTTCTGTGCCCTTGATGATAATGATAATGTCTCCTTCCTGAGTCACAAAATGCCAAATGTAATAACCTCTCGTGGCAGCCTTGGTGTTAGTGGCCCTGCACCCATTTGACTGCTGGGCAGAGTGAGGCAAAGAAAGATCAGAGGCCTGGCTCACCTTCCCTCTTCCCTCGGCAGGGACACTTGCCCAGTGGGCTCACTGAAAGCAGGAGTCATATTTCTATACCATCAATCTGAAATTCCAGCTACAGCAGAATTTCCCCCAAAGATTTTTTTTTGGGGGGGAAGGTAGTGTTTTGGGGAGCACTAGTCTCCTGGGAAACTCTGTGGGGAGCTTGGAAAATGCTTCTAGTCCTTCATTAGCTTTTCTTACATACATTAGCATATTAAAGGCTCTGAGAAATCCTGTAGTAAAGGCACCTTTTTTTAGTTGCTATTAATCAGATACTCAGCTGGTAAAGAATTTGCCTGCAATGCAGGAGACCCTGGTTCAACTCCTGGGTCATTAAGTTCCCCTGGAGAAGGGATAGGCTACCCATTCCAGTATTCTTGGGCTTCCCTTGTGGCTCAGATGGTAAAAAAAAATCTGTCTACAATATGGGAGACCTGGGTTCGATCTCTGGGTTGGGAAGATGGAAGATCCCCAGGAGGAGGCATGGCAACCTACTCCATTATTCTTGCCTGGAGAATCCCCATGGACAGAGAAGTATGGTGGGTTACAGCCCATGAGCTCACAAAGAGTCGGACATGACTAAGCACAGCACAGCACAGCCTGATGCTTTCAAAATTTAACTGACCACAGACTCTTGCAAATAGCCCTTAACACCCCTTGGATGCCCTTCTGATAATTCTGTGTTTGAGACATTTAAACGATCTCTGTTGTCCCAAAAACTTTTGCAGAGAGGCCCTAAAGTTGGGGATAAAGGAAATAGAGGCCATAATTGGAGCACAGGTGATCAAAATAGCAAGATGGCTCCTGGGAAATTTTCCCCATCTTTCACGGGTGCCCTGTCTGTGAACCTGAAGGCCCCCCGACCTTAAGGATGCCCTAGCCCACATCAGGTCAGATACAGTCTCACCATTGGCGTATGTCGTATTTTACAACCATTTTTAAACTGGGACAGAATTGTTGCCTGGTGCTGAAATTGATGGGTGTGTACCTTTGGGACAGTGTTGAGTTGAGGAGGGTCCTAAAGAGAGAATGAAGATGGAGCCAAGACATCACAGAACGGTGTCACCCACCTTCCCCAGGAGGGGTGCGCAGGCTGAGGAGCCTGTGACATGCTCCTTAAGTGCTGGATGGGTGCTGCTGGTGTGAAAGGGACCAAGCGTCGCCCACATCAAGGCAGCACAGAAGCGTGGACGCCTGTTTGTCTGTCTGTCTGCATGCCTCCTTCCACAACCATCTGAGGCAGCTGAAAAATCCAGCCCCGTGATGTTAACCGGAAGGAGGTGGATGGAGGAAGTCGGGACAGACAGAGGTGGAGATAGAAAGTGAGACGGGAATTAGGCTAGTACAACGATGGCCATAGGGTCCTTGGCTTTTGCTTTCTCGGATCCAGCCTCCTGTCAACTCACACAACCCAGGTGTCTGTTAGCCTAGGCAGGCTACAATTTACTGAGCACCTACTATGTGTTGATTCCTGTGCTAAATATGTTCTATATATTTTTTTTCCAATGAGGAGACTAAACAGTGTGTATTTTCTCCTAGGAGGAAGGCATTTCATCTCCATTACAGAGATGAGGACTCGAAGAGACCCGAAGGCTAAGGCACCGATCCAAGCATGCACAGCTAGGGTGACAGAGCTGGGCTTTGAACTTGGACTTCATCAGTCTTGAGACTTTCTGTTCTCTGGATCTCGTGCTGTACCGCCTGAGCCTTGTGGACCAACGAATGCCCTCTTCCCTCCCTTCATTGTCTTTTACCGAGACAGACGACCTATGTATGGAAAAGGACTTGAAACATATATGTCAGTATAAAGGTAGTTATCAGTTATAAATAGTTATAATACTCATACATCAACCACTTAGGCAAAGAAATAGAACATAGCCAGTGTCTTGGCGGCCCCTGTGCTCTCTCCCAGAGGCACCCAGCATCCGAGCCCTTTAGATATTTATTTGTAATTGTTTTGCCACATATGTTTACATCCCTACACTATTTCATTTTGTCTTGCCTGAATGAGAATTTTATGTAAATGGACTCACACTCACAAATTCTTTTTTCCCTTGCTTCTTTGCCCTCAACAAAATGGGAGATTCAGACATGCTCTTGTCCACAGCAGTGGTTCATTCATTTCATGGCTTTGTTGTACTCCATTGTACGAACGTGCAGTAGACCACCCCTGCTACCGCTGCTGGGTATTTGGGTCATTTCCAGATTTTGGCAATCATGACATTGCTGCATTGTTACATGTGTCTGTGAATGCACATGGGTAGGAGTTTCTCTAGAACACAAACTTGGAGTGGAATTGCTGGGTTGCAGCCTGTACTTATTTTCGACTTGACTAGATATGTGGTTTTGCAAGAGCTCCTTTTCCTCCGCATCCTCACTAGTGTTTTTCGCTGTCTCCTATCTTTTCTTCAGCATGATCCTCTGTTATATGTTATCTTCATCAATCTGCTCATGGATTTGCAAAGGCAAGTGGAGGAGCCCAGCGTAAACACTGGCTGTACCTACACCGGACCCTGTGTTTACTGAATCAGACTCACCAAGGGAGCAGCCCAGGAATCTGTTTTTCATAACCTCCCCTAGTGGTCCAGATAATCAGCTCTGTTATCTAGAGCCTTGATGCATTTTTTTGTCCTGGGATTCTTGTTCCAAAATAAATCTTATTATGCAGGGTGCCATATGTGCTTAGTCGCTCAGTTGTGTCTGACTCTGTGCAATCCCATGGACTGTAGCCCACCAGGCTCCTCTGTCCACTGGGATTCTCCAGGCAGGAGTGGGTTGCCATGCCCTCTTTCAGGGGATCTCTTCCCAACCCAGGGATCAAACCCAGGTCTCCTGCATTGCAGGTGGATTCTTTATCATCTGAGCCACCAGGAAAGCCCAAGAATATTAGAGTGGGTAGCCTATGCTTTCTCCAGTGGATCTTCTCAACCCAGGAATCAAACCAGGGTCTCCTGCATTGCAGGCAGATTTCTACCAGCTGAGCTATCAAGGAAGCCCAGAATGCCATATACAAAACAGATAGAATGGGAACTGCCCTGCTTAGAGCAGGAAGTCAGAATGGAGGGCCCAGTAAAATAGACTGGCTAGCTCTTCACCACACTCATTCCTGTTCCTCCTGTAACAGAGTTAGACCACATCTCCCTGCCTCCTTTGTGAATAGGTGTAGCCATGAGCTCTATCCAGTGAATGAGGGTGGAAGTGATAAGAGATGGGGGCATATCCAGGCCTAGCCCATAATACTCCATCCCATCTGAAGGCTAAATGCAAAGAAACTGAGAGAATCCAATCTCAGTCATGTCCAACTCTTTGCGACCCCATAGACTGTAGCCCACCAAGCTTCTGTCCATGGGATTCTCCAGGCAAGAATACTGGAGTGGGTTGCCATTCTCCTCTCCGGGGGATCTTCCTGACCCAGGGACTGAACCCAGGTCTCCTGCAGTGCAAGCAGATTCTTTACCGTCTGAGCTGCAAGGGAAGCCCCGACTGAGAGATGGGCAGAGCCAAAAGCTGAAAAGAACTGGGGACCCTAAATGATCTTGGGGAAGGCTGCCTGCCAATCAGCATACCTATCTGGGATTTCACACAGTGAAAAATAAATGTCTATTGTGTTAAGTAATAGATTTGTAGGGGGCAGGGGTATCGGTTTGTTACGGCAGCTGATATTGCCTTAGCCCATCCCTACTGTTGGTCCCCAGGGCACCTCCATGGAGTCTTAGCACTCTGTGAAGCCCTGTGGAAGACCAGAGCTGTAGATGAAAGGAAACACTGCATGCAGTCACAAGGCCTGGGCTTTGAATCTCCATTCGCCTCATAAGAGGAGGGAGAGAGGACTCCACCTCCCTCCGCTTTTGTATGGCTTTAATGAGATAATATATTTGGAAAGTACTCCGGGTGCGGTGAAAGGCTTTTCAGATGTGAGTTATATTTAGTTATTGATACTGCGTTTCTGCGTGTGTTTCTTTCACTACATCCACAGCCAAGCTTCTCTCCAGTGGCTACTCCACAGAAACTGGAGGAGCATTAATGCAGTAAATCTCAAAACTCAGCCCCTCTCTCCCCACTCCAGGCAGGGCTGGGCCATGGTCCCCAGAGCAGCTGACCCCAAGCATAATGCAAATACTGCGTTCCATCAGGCTATTTTAAGACAGGCGAGGAATAAGTCTCCCGCTCTCCCCATAAGAAATGTACATCATTCCCTGATCTTTAATTTCCTTTTGATTAAAAAGAAACCAGCCTATCTGAAAAATATCTACTATCTCTCCTTATGCTGAGAGATGAGAAGTTAAAAAAAAGAAAGTCAAATGTGCTTTCTGGCCCTTCAGAGTCAGAGGGACCCCTTAGGACTTGCTATGAGAGTTGTGTGGATGTTTTTGGTGAGTGATGAGGGTTTAGGCTCAGTAGGCTGGCACTTAGGATTATCTTAGTTCTCTGGGCTAGAAGAAGAGGTAGATTAAAATTCTTCTGAAATGTGTGATGGAAGTCATAGCCTCCAGACTAGCCACGCCTTGTCTGATGGCTGAAGGGAAGAGGAGGGGGGAAATCTCTACTTCTCCCCTGGCCCCCAAACCTTGACCCGGAGCCCTTGTCTTCTCTCACCTTCCTCCTTTCACTCGGTCCATCTCCAAGGTGGTTGTGCGCCCATTCACAGATCAGCACCTAGCAGGGCGGACAGTTCCCACTCTCGCAGGCCTACCTACAGCCCCTACTGTGTGCTGGGCATCGTGCACAGCCCTGAGCCCATACTCCTGTAGATGAAGCCCTGTTGTCAGCTCTCAACCACAGCAGGCTTTCTAACCAGGATCCGGTCCACCGTCCCCTCTTCCACTCTGTCAGACCAAATCAGAGGAAGCCAGGTCTTCTTACTCATAACAAAGTACGCGTCACTTTCCTGGGGCTCCCATAACCAACTGCCACAAGTTGAATGGCTTAAAACAACAGAAGTGTATTTGCTCGTGGTTCTGGAGGCCAGATATCTGAAATCAAGTTGTCAGTAGGATGGGCTCCTCCTGGAGGCTCTAGGGGAGAATCTGTCCCATGCCTCTCTCCTGGCTTCCGGTGGCTCCTGGTAACCCTTGGTATTCCCTGTCTTGTCAACCCATCACTCCAATCGGGTTCCACAGTCACATTGCCTTCCTCTCCTTTTGTCTCTCTGTTTTCTCCTCCTTCACAAATACACCAGCCATAGAATTTAGGGTCCAACATAAACCCAGGATGATATCGTCTTAGATCCTTCAGTAATTACATCTGCAAGATTCTGTTTCCAAATAAGGTCACATTCTGAGATGCCAGGTAGATGTGATTTTTTTTGGGGGGGTCACTATTAAACCCACTGCAGTCTCCCTATGGACCTCCAAAATCTACATCCATCTCACAATGCAAAATGCTTCCACCCTACCCCAACGTCTGGAAATGGGCACTGAAAGATGGGGGTGATTATAGAACCTCTCACAAAGTGCCACATGGACAGTAAAATAAGTCATTAGCAGGCTTAGTACAGTGCCTGACTGATAAGAAAGAAATGCAGTGAAGAGTGGTAGTAGTAGAAGTTTTGTACAAACTATGCCGATACACGACTGGATGGATTTTCCCAAGGCACTGCCTTTTTTAAGAAATCACTTTCTTCCTTAAAAGCCAACAGGGTTTCCCACTGCCTGCAAACCAAAGTCTGAGCTCATTTGGTTAGTGAGTAAGGGTTCTGCAATTGGCCCTCCATCAGAACTTCCTCTCTCTCTCTCTCACCTCTTACCCTCAAGCCCAAGTGATACCCAAATTCTCCCAGTTCTTCCTTTATGTCCCGTCTACTTACTTCTACCAATGTCCCCCTGTGTCTACTTGGTGGTACCTCCTGGAAACTCCTGTTCACAGTGAAGCCCACCTCCGTTGAGCTCATGTGGCCACTACAGGTGCTCACTTGGGTCACCAACTTGGACATGTTGTTCTTTTTTCCTCTGTATTTTTTTCCTCTGCTCTACCACAGACCACGGTTTCATGAAGGCAGGGACTATGTTTCTGCATGAGGGACTCTGTGCCACAGAGATCTCACAACTCTGCCCTTTAGGCGAGAAACATTAACATCTCTGTACCTCAGGTTCTGAATCGATAAAATAAGGGTCATTCTATCTCCCTGTTAGGGTTCTTGGGGGGGGTAAACCAAGTAACACGGGTAAAGTGCCTGGCGCCTAGGCAAGCAGTGTTCTCTTCCTTGGCAGGATGCTACCCCCTGCGTCTGGTCCATAATGGGTTTGTACCAGATGGAGGCTTTGTAAACAGTTGTGGGTGATGGTGAGCATTGAGAAGAAAGGACGCATTCTGGCATAGATTAGGGCATAAACTTTCAACCAGAACAATAATAACAGCAACATGTATCAGGCAAGCTGCTAATGCTTTCCATGCATCATTATTTAATCCTACCATTTTACCAAGAAACGTATGTTACACACAGTGCCCAGTAGAGGTCCCGCTATGTAGTAGTGGGCCATCAAGGCAGCCCCGGGAAAAACCATCCTGGCCAGGATTAAATAGGGATGTGCCCCCAAGTTTATACATTCCCCCTCCATCCCAGGAAGTCATCTGGTGGAACACCCCCCACCAAAGACCCCGCCCCTTGTCCGCATCCCCAGTGTGCCCTGACTCAGTCCTGTCCAGTTCTTTGTGACCCTTCTGGACTGGAGCCCGCCAGGCTCCTCTGTGCATGGGGATTCTCTAGGCACGAATACTGGAGTGGGTTGCCATGCCCTCCTCCAGGGGAATCTTCCCAACCCAGGGATTGAACCCAGATCTCTCGAACTGCAGGCAGATTCTTTACTGACCAAGCCACCAGGGAAGCCCAAGAATACTGGAGTGGGTAGCCTACCCCTTCTCAAGGGGATCTTCCCGACCCAGGAATCGAGCTGGTGTCTCCTGCATTGCAGGCAGACTCTTTACCAGTTGAGCTACCAGGAAAACCAGTGTGCCCTAATGAAGTGCATTTGTCTCCTAGGTCTCCCAGGGGCCAGAGAGCTGACCCAGGACGCTAGGGGAACTGTACAGGAAAGGCGGATGCAGGAAGAGCTGCTGAGAAATGGATGGGCACTATTCCCACGGTGCCTTGAGAATGTTCATGAGACAGATGCTATGGGAGAGGGGGGTGGGCAGGGAAGTCGAGACACGTGATCAAGGAAGGCTGCACCAACCTACATAAATGGAGTAACAATTCCTTCCCTTCCTCTGGGGCTCTCTAATTGCACAAAGTGCTTTCCGGCACAGGGCAAGGGAAGTACAGTGCTCTGACCGGAGCAGGGAGCTTGCCAGCCTTTGGGTTCCAAATTTGGAATGTGGGCGGGGCTGCTACTTAAAACAACCCCACCTGCCCATAAGGCTGGTGCCCGAGTCCTCCCTCAGAAACATGTATTTTCCCAACAGCCTGCAGGAGACAGAAGCAGTCTGCCTCAGAGTCCATGAAGGTCAAATATGGGAAGCTCAGGCCACAGCAGGCCAGCCACTGGGAAGGCAGTGGGAGGGAGAGCAGGGGCCAAGTGGTACCTTTCACATCCTCCACACGCATCTTTCAGACGGCCATCTGTGAGTCAGCCTGAGCCCAGCTCCAAAGAGTATGGCCCAGCTATGGTCCTCAATATTAATAATTACAGCCGGCAGTGTTTGCATGCCTTG